TGTGTGTGTGTGTGTGTGTGTGTGTGTGTGTGTGTGTGTGTGTGTGTTTTCATAGATTTTCATGGGTGCAGGCATGTAGGTCTAGGTGTGTTCGGGTCTTTTCCCATGTAAGATTAAGAGTATCTTGGCAATGTTTGGGCGAGGTCCCATTCGCCATCCTCAGGCTGGAATCTGGCTCTATCATCTCTGCCATAAATTCCATTTAAGGGTGTTTGTAAATATATAACTGCTGTGTGTGTGTGTGTATGTATATATATATATATAAATTTTAATCCAAGTTCTTAACTCTTGCCATAAAATGCAACTACAAGTAGTCCTCAAGTTACGACCATAATGGACGCCCAAATTTATGTTGCTAGATGAAACATTTGTTCAGTGACTTTTGCCCCATTTTATAACTTTCCTTGCCACAGCTGTTTAAGTGAATTGTTGCATTTAGTAACATGATTGTTAAGTGAATCTGGATTCCCCATTGACTTTGCTTGTCAGAAGGTTGCAAAAATATGACTTGGACACTGCAACCGTCATAAATGCATGCTGGTTGCCAAGCATCTGAATTTTGATCATGTAAGCAAGGGGATGCTGCAACAATTGTAAGTGTGAAAAATGGTCATAAGTCACTTTTTCAGTGCTCTTATAACTTTGAATGGTCACTAAATGAACTGTTGTAAATTGAGGACTACCTGTATTTAATTAGATTGTCTGTACTCTATTGGGATTCTGTGTTGCATTTTTTACACACCTTTCCTCTTTTGCTTTGCCTCCTTTCTCAAATTAAAAACTTCTTGTAGTTGAATTCAGTTTTATACTGAATTATTTGACCCCCTGAAGTATTAGGTGAATACATATAATACACCTGCCAGTATCCTTTGGTTTACATTTGCTTGTCCAAAGATGTAGCACTTACCAAAATGCTAGAAGTACAGTTCATCGGTTTTACTCTGGTATGTTGTCAGGAAAATACTGCCCAGCCAAACTTCTCACACACTCAGCAGAGAGACAGGGCGTTCAAAATAGTCTCCCAATTATAATAGAGTTGTCATGGTGCAAAAGGGAAATTAAGTAGACATATGGGTATGTCTAGTCTGGTGAAAAGCATTAGAAATGACATGATAACAATATTCCAATATTTGAGGGGCTGCCACAAAGAAGAGTGGGATAACTTATTCTCCAAAGCATATGAAGGCAGGACATGAAACAGTGGATATAAATTAATCAAGGACAGATATAGATTAACAGAATTGGAAGGGACCTTGTAGGTCATCTAGTCCAACCTCCTGCCCAAGCAAAGACCCTACACTATTTCTGACAAATGGCAGTCCAATCTTTTATTGAAAGCTTCCAGTGATGAAGCTCCCACAACTTCTGAAGGCAATTTCTGTTCGTTCCATGGGTTGATTGTTCTCACTGTCAGAAAATTTCTTATTTCCAGGCTGAATCTCTCATTGTTCAGTTTCCATCCATTATTCCTTGTCTGGCCTTTGGGTGCTTTGGAAAATAGCTTGACCCCTTCCTCTCTGTGGCAGCCCCTCAAATATTGGAATGCTGCTATCATGTATAGTCAACCTAGAATTAAGGAAAAATTTCCTGACAAAACAAACGATCAGTGGAACAACTTGCCTCCAGAAGTTGTGGGTGCTTCATTACTGGAGGCTTTTATGGACGGCCACTTGTCTGGAATAGCATAGGGTCTTCTGCTTGAACAAGGAGTTGGACTGGAAGACCTCCAAGGTCTCTTCCAATACTGTTCTGTTATTTCTGCTAAAATTAGGTTTCAGATTATCTGTCGGAAGAGGGCGCCTTAGAGCTTCAGAAGGAGCTTAACTTTGTATCTACCACAATAGAGAAAAGGCAGAGAAATCCTTTGGCTTAATATTGGCACCAACACTTCCAGTCCTATGACATCCCCTGGTCCATTTCTACACGGTAGTGCTCAGTTTCAGAGGCCTTGTAATGAATATACTACCAACATCTTTACTTGACTAGAAGGACGTAACGTGAAGGGAGACCTCTGCTTGGTTGTGACGCCTAGTATGAGTTTTGCAAAATGAGAAAAAGACACGGAGGGAGGTGTTTGCCTCTCTGTAGGAAAAGATGCAAAAGCGGGCAATAAAATGAAATTAAGTCCCCCATAAAGAAAAACTGCAAATTGGGCTTTCAAATTTAGAATGAGAGTAAGGTAAAGTTACGGTTGAACTAAACCAGACAATAGGTTACTACTGTATATATGCTTCCTATGGTTTTTACATGATTAAAGCTCAGTCATTCGTTGTATCAATTTGACAATCTTTATAGCTTGAGCCACATCATATTTAAGAAAATACAAAATAATAGAATTGGAAGGGAGCTTGGAGGTCTTCTAGTCCAGCCCCCTGCTCAAAGCATGAATCCCGAAACCATGATTGTACATTCCATGTTATATATTTGGCAGGCGGTTGCCAGGACCGCAATAGATAAGAAAACATGCAAAGTGGTGAAATATAATTTGCTAAGAGTTTGGAAAAGTTGGAGGAATTCTTTATTTTTTTAAACTCTGAGAAATCTATTGCAGAAATTGACCATAATTTGAGAGTTTTTCTGAATCTCAGTGGAAATGCATTCAGTGCACACAGTCAGTTCAATCTTAGGTGAATTTTACAGGAGACAGGAAAGAGACAGAAATGCTCATTGTCCAAGAACCACAATAAAATACTTTAAGGGAGCAGGATTCTGGTGGTTGCAGCTTTGCTGAAGCAAAGAGAAAGAGGTTTTGCAAAGCGCCCCTTTTTAAACGGGCCTATTTTGTGGGGATGTCCATGGAAATCAAGGATAATGCAGGATTTGGCAACCTTAGCAACTTTAAGAGGTATGGACTTCAACTCCCAG